AAGGTTAAGAACCACTGGCCTAGAGTATGCTACATTTTTCCAGTCTGGGACTGCCCGCCTTAAAAAAAAGTACAATTTACTAAATCTAGTACAGTAATGCAATTTAATAAATGAAATTAATAGTGTGTACAGTGTCACAACCAGTTTGACCCCCTAAACATGGGTCATAATTGTTTATGAAAAGTCTTTGGATCAGATGCCCATGTAAAAACAGTCCCAAGAGTGGGAATATCTCTGTTTCTGGCAACAGGGAAAAACCTTAAACTTCTCTGTTGAACACTTTTGTCAGCTGTCATGAATCTCATTATTTGTCCTGGAGGAATGTTTTCTTCAGAGGGAAGTCCCTTGCCTCCCATAGGATTCACTCCAAATGGATCAATGAAAAGTTCTTCGGAAGACCAAATGTACAGATTATTAATCACAATGTCTTTTTTTCCATTTTTTAACAGAAGCATTTTCCAGACCGTTTCAAAAAGGCTCCTCAAAATCGACCTCCAAAAGCTCATGGCTGCTATGGAAGGGAAATCTGCCTCAGACGTTGCCGCGGAAATTCACGAAGAATTGGAGGCGCTGCAAAACGCCAGACTCGATATTGCCATCACTGGGAGGTCAGGCGCTGGTAAATCCTCCCTTGTCAATGCTCTGCGGGGTATGGCCGATAATGAAAAGGATTCTGCTGAGACTGGGGTGACAGAAACAACGAGGGAGGTGAAGGAATATCCACACCCCACCATGCCCAAAGTGACAATATGGGATCTGCCAGGAATTGGAACGCCAGAGTTTACAGCCGAGAACTACTTAAAGCAAGTTAATTTTAGCAGGTACGATTTTTTCCTCATCGTTGCAGCAGGACGTTTCACAGAACATGACACCCAGCTGGCCCGGGAAATTCAGAAAATGAAGAAGAAGTTTTACTATGTCCGCACAAAAATCGATCTCAATATTACGTGTGAAAAAAGGAAGGAGAATTTCAATGAGTTCGAAATCTTGGAGAAAGTAAGGAACAATTGCTGTGAGAATTTGGCAAAGACAGGAGAAACGTCTCCGAGAGTTTTCCTAATGTCCCGATGGGATTTGGGCTTGTATGATTTCCCTCTTCTGCTTCAGAGCTTGGAAGATGATCTGGATGATCTCAAAAGACATGCTTTAATTCTAGCGACTCCCATTTTCTCAAAGGAAATTATGGAAAAGAAAAAGGCTGCACTTGACGCCTTGATATGGAAGCTAGCGGTTGTGTCCCTTTTCTTCGGAGCTGTCCCTGTGCCCGGCCTCTCTTTCGCTTGTGATCTTGCCATCTTGGTGGGAGCATTGATCCATTTTTGCAAAGTCTTTGGATTAGATGAAGATTCCCTCCGTAGACTGGCAGCGCAGGTGGGCAAACCGGTCGAAGAGCTAAAGTCTGCTATCAAAAACACCCCCGTAGTCGCAGAGATCAACACAAAACTTGTCATTGGCCTCTTAAGCAAGTCAGCAGTGTGTGCAACACTGACAGTGATAGAGCTGGTGTGTGATTTTGTACCCGTACTGGGGTCTATAGTTGGTGGAATCTCCTCTTTCTTTACCACGCTCTTTATGTTGAGAAGCTTTCTGCAAGACGTTCTGATCGATGCAACAAATGTTTGGGCAGTAGCAAGGAGTTCATGAAGAGCCCCAGGTGAAGATGGAAGGATATGAACTTTGCCCAGGAGCAACACTAAAGAAAGAAAGAAAGAAAGAAAGAAAGAAAGAAAGAAAGAAAGAAAGAAAGAAAGAAAGAAAGAAAGAAAGAAAGAGACCCATAATCTCTGATTGGAAGACTCCCCCACTCTTCAATAGATATTAAACCCCAAAGTAACATGGAAAACTCAACTGGCAAATAAAAATTATTTCTATGCAAATTGCCAGTCTTATACAAACAAAGGCAGCAACTACATATTCATTCATTCATTCCATTTATACCCCGCCCCCTAGACATCGTCTACTCGTTATATTATAATACGTTATATTGCAGATAACCCACAGTAAACATTTTACTGTATACGCGAAGCCTTTCACGGCCGGCTAATGGTTGTTGTGGGGTTTTTGGGCTCTTTGGGCATGTTCTGAAGGTTGTTCTTCCTAACATTTTGCCAGTCTCTGTGGCCAGCATCTTCTGCACATGAGCACAGAGTGCTGTCCTCTGAAGATGCCGGCCACAGAGACTGGTGAAACGTTAGGAAGAACAACCTTCAGAACATGGCCAAAGAGCCCGAAAAACCCCCAACAACCAGTAAACATTTTACTTTGGGTTATCTACAATCCAGAGTGAAAACACTCCCATCACACAGATGTTTTGATGTAGTGAAAAATGGTGCCACTGGTGGTTCCCTCTTCTGCCAGCCAGCCAGGGCTAGCCAAGAGGCAACCTTGTTTAATCAGCTTTAGTGGTTCTGTTTTTCTGCCTGTGGAGACAACGACTCTTCCTCCTTCATGGGGTGGCTTGTCCTGTGGGTGGCTGGATGGCAGTAGCCAGGAAGAAGAGGGCAACAGCAACAGTGCGGGGGTGTCTCAAAGAAACCCCCAGCACTGCCCTCCACTTACCTGCCGCATAAGTAAGCTCTGTGGGAAAGAATGGGCTGTCTTGCCTCGCCGAAGCCTTACTGTTCTTTAAAATGGTGCCCAATATGCACAATATTAAAGCTCTGTAAGGCATACATCATATGACCTGAGCAAATTTACTTTGCATTGAAATCGATTTGAAGGAAACATGTCATTCAGGCCAAAACATTGTTCCTGGAGTGCCATTTTAATGCACCCAACACTGTTGATGGTCTGATCTTCTGATTTTTTCATCTTTCCCCAAATTGTACATTGATTATCTTATATGTGTCAAGAAAAACAAAGCTTGAAAATGAAAGATATATTTAGCAGGAGACTCGCTAACTTCTTCAGTGGGATTTTGATCTTCCCACTGCTGTTGGGTAAATGAAAAATTCCTGGGTGCAGGGAAATAAGAGTCAGATGTCATAATTAATATGGGAGAAATGACAAGCCGGGGGAAGGCACCATAAAGTTTGGGGACTATATACGGGGTTCCCAGAGTCCAAAATGTAACCCTCAGCACCTCAGGCCCCTAAGCACCTCTGTACCCCCCAAGATTTTTAAGATACAGTATGTTTTTGATCCTCCATTTTCTTCCTCTTTCATCCCCTTGGGTCTTCTACAGGTCAGAAGACAATTTCCCATCGTTTTAAGAGGATTCTGGCACCAGGGCACCCACATGCTCACTATTTACATTTCTGGGGGCCGCTAGAATGTGCAAGGTTTTTTTTTCTAAGACAAATCGCAGTTTTGTAAGTGTGTGGCACTCTGTTTCTCCCTCTCTGTAGCACACTTTGTATGTCCAGTTCTGGGTTTGCGCAACCCCTTTAAAGGACGTGGTGGCGCTGTGGGTTAAACCGCAGAAGCCTCTGTGCTGTAAGATTTGTAGATCTTCAGCTGTAAGATCGAATCCACGTGTCGGAGTGAGCTCCCGTCGCTTGTCTCAGCTCCCGCCAACCTAGCTGTTCAAAAGCATGCAAATGTGAGTAGATAAATAGGGACCACCTTGGTGGGAAGGTAACAGTGTTCCGTGTCTAAGTCACGCTGGCCACGTGACCACGGAAAGATTGTCTTCGGACAAAACGCTGGCTCTATGGCTTGGAAACGGGGATGAACACCCCGCCCTAGAGTCGGACACAACTGGACAAATTGTCAAAGGCAACCTTTACCTTTACCTTACTATAAGCAAAACCAGATGCAGAGCAGTGAAAAGACAAGAGATATTTCCAAGGTGTGATCACACAAGGAAAGAGATCACCTTTTGAACCACCTGTAGAGTGATCTTGTATGATCTATTTCCCTGGCTGGTCCACAATACACAAGGAAATACGCCAGCCCCAATCCGCGGTTTCTACTTTGAGGAGCTTGGGCTGGATTTATTCCCCTGCAGACAGAGGTTTCTGACTATATACGGTACCTAGAGGTCGCTAAAAGAAAGAATCATAAAATGTGCATGTATTCAAGGGATTGCTCAAATGTGATTTTGTAAGGCAGGGTGGACTCAAGTCACAGAATCCAACCAATGAGACCTGGAAGTTTATAATAATTAAGAGCACATCTGGAGAGGCAAAAGTGGATCCAGATCAAAGTATGATGGCTACACCATAGAGTGCTCCATCCTAACCCTTTTTAGAGCTGTCCTGGCTCCTTTTTGGCCCAGGGCTATACATTTTTGGTATAATATCCATCTAAACAGATATATTTTTTAAAAAAAGATGAAAACCTTTTCAGCACAAACCAGAGGGCTTCAACTTCCCCCATATGGACAGCCCAAAAGTTTCAAAGGAAAAGGGTACAAAAAAGAGGTCACTCCCAAGGGAAAAGATTCATAGCCGGGCACATACTTATTAATAAGAAAATCATGATTCATTGTCTGATCTATTCTACCTACCAATTTATCTTAGGCTTTGCAATCATTACTCAGAATGAATAGTCGTAGAAGGTATAGCCATGTTAGTCTCTACAAGGTAATCTTGATGCCATGTATAAATATTTGCCCTGTTATATCTCCTTCTCTTATGTCTGATGAAGTGTGACTTGTCCACAAAAGCTCACATTAAAAAAAAAATAAAGTTAATCTTTAAAATGCCACCACCTTTATTTTTTTTATTTTGTTTCCAAAATTAATAACTTGAATTGAGCTCATTGTGCTTTTTGAGTTAAAGACCTTCATTTGATTGCTTAACTAGCACCGTATATACTCGAGGATAAGCCAACCCGAATATAAGCCGAGGCACCCTATATGGAGAATTAGTGCAGGGAAATCGCCCCAGAGGGAGACCACAGCTGC